GGAAAGAAAAGTGTCTTCAAAGTATGCCTTCATCTTAATTATAAAAGAAAGTTTTATCCAGTATAAGTTTTTTTTACATTCATCTCAAAAATCGTAATGGTGTTTAGGGAAAGAAGGAAAAGATTATTGATGAAAAGAGATTCCGATAAGAGTCTAAGATACAAGTGCAGTTCCGCTTGTGAAGCCGTGTAAGCGGTTCCAATTTTAATCTATACTAATTTATAAAGCTGAAAAGTTTTTTTGTTTAATCGCGCTAAGCTCAGGAATTACTGGTTCGATTTGAAAATTTATTTTTGAATTGGAACATTTATCGAGCAATACCTTAGGCTAAAAAATCAGGCGACGATCAAGAAATGTGGAGAAAACGGGGAAAATTATTCGTCGTTTAGGGCTTCCATTGAGTGCAAAAATGTGTATGAAAGAATGATCTTTCAGTGATCTAAAAAGTTCGCGACAATATGTCTATTTCATAAGATTAACTTGCAAGAACGACGGGACATGGACGAACGGATCGTGCGTAAGAGCTAGCACGTAAAAGGAAAATATATAACATGATTCCCAAAATAACTATTTTACGCAGACAAAGTCGCGAGCACAGCTAGTAAGTATATAAAGTCTCGTGTGTTAGCATAATGTATAATTTCACCCAAATTTTACCATCAAAATAATGATAATAAAATTCACCGACCAGAAAGTTCTGTAATCATTCGAGAATAGAAATTAATTAGAGATTTCTAAACAAATGATAAAATAAACTTTGTTATGCTTTAGTGAAATTAGGTCTAGAATTACTATACGCTTTCGATTGCCACGCTGTGAAGAACGGCTTATTTGCCGTCCGCGGGAACATTTATCCGCAATGCGCCATTAAAACACTCTCCACACTAAAATGTCTGCCAATTGAAGTACTGAGTTACGATAGTTCTATTATATTGCTTTTGGCGTCTTACGTTTAGTTTAATTATAACTGTGAGTTATAATAGGCGCTACCGCGATTTTGCACGCAAGATACATGAAAATTGCAAAATTTACAGCAAATCAACGCAATGTGCAAACGCAATTTGCTGTTTTGTTTTCCATCTACAGGTTTTTCTGTAACTCGTCTTCTATATTAATATTAATATAATTTATTTTTCTTCTGTTTCTCTGACACACGGGTCTACGCTGTTGTCTACAATTAAGCTACACATTACCTGTGACCAAAATTATATTTGAAATCCCTGGAATTCGAACGCAGGACCTCTCGCGAATAATTCAACGTCTACAACTAAGCCGTGGAGACGTACTATAAGACGTAGCTTAAAAAATGAATCACGTTGAAACGGGAACGCTGTCACCTCGAACTTGGGTGACGTCACATATTAAACAGCCGGGCCACTTTCAAACGAGGCAAGAGCGCTACTTACTCACCCGATTAAATAAAATAATGTGGCATTTATTGCTCGTATTAAAGTATAAGAAGAAACACACAGCATATAAAATGGCGAAAAGAAATGTTTTGGATAGCAAAAGAGACATCGATATGCAAATGTACGGACTAAAACGAAAGATCCTGTTCGTCTGATCTTTTCTTATAGGACCGAAAGAGATATGAGAAATTTCGACAAAGATTTTTTTAGAAATATTCGTTTAAAACACAAAAAAAAAAGGTTTTTTGAAATAAATTAGAAATATTCGAGAAAACATCTGTTTGTAGCTCTAGGCTTGTATGCCGAAGCAATTGTTTATTTACATGTGATTCCTATGTTAACCTACTTTATAAATTAAAAGTCGATTATAAATCGAAAAAATTTACGGCACGGGCAGGACTTGAACCGGCATCCACAGCGTTCCGTGCTGACGACTGACTGACCGACGTCATGGTCAAATTTTTCAACCTATTGATTTACATGATGCATAAGCATCCAGTTCATTAACCTACTTTGTCTAGAATCTGTAATAAAGGGAGGTCCTGCATCAGAATTCCGTGAAGAAACAGACACAGAGTGGCGTCTGCTTAACACCCTATTAGCCTTTAGCGGACATTTATTTGTGTTTAATACACATTAGGCCTCTAAAAATGGTCTTCCAATTCATACACATGGGGTGCACAGCTGACGTCGCTAACACGGGAGGTTGATATTGATTCCGGCGCGCCGATTCCCCCTGGGGGCCGCAATTTCCTAGGTTTCGGCTTTAAGACGTCTTAAGAATTAAGAAGTATATATTGCGTTTATCGCTGCTCGCTTTTTTAATTTTAAAACTACAAAATGTATGCTTAGTTTTCATTTCATGATCCCACAATTTTTTTTTGCTGACATAGACCCCTAGGGGTAGATAATATAGACTACTTTGGGATCGTAATGCGAAAAGTTTTCAAATGCACTTAACAAATTCACAAAATAATATTTAAAATGTTTTTATGAATATCACTGTGACTTGACTCTCCTCAAAAAATAAGTTTAAAGCGTGGTTGACTGTAAACATTAATCTTTGCTCATGTTTACAACTTCTACCTTGAATAACAGAATAGAACTTCGATATGGTATATCCAAATTTCAAAAGTGCAAACTCCATTTGCCAAATAAAAAAAATATTTACTTACTCTCCAATTTATTCAGAAATTTTTATCTCCTAACAATTAACGACATACAATTGGAAAACATCATAGACTGATGAGAATTAAAAATATAGTTATGCAGAACTATATTTTTAATTCTCATAACATTCTCGATCTGGTCATGACTAACTATTTTGCAATTCATTTAAGTAACCGTTAGAAATTACAGTAGATGATGATGATTACAGCAGATAGATACAAATTATATTACAAAATCTAATATATTGTCTTTACAAATATTATTTTGTTACTGTTTTTCATAACAGCTAAGTAGTTAATATTTAGAATTGGTATTGGTTTTTGAGATATAATAATAATATGGATAACTCTATGCAAGTGGTAGCTTTCTTTATCACTTGATGTTTGCAATCATAAATTCAATGTTGTTTCTATTGTTATTATTTATTTATGGTTCTAAAAGTCTAAAACAAAAGTATAAAATAACAAATGTATTAGTAGCAATACACATGATTGAAGAAAAAAGCCTTGTGAGTATAGGCTCTGTCATAAGTTTTGTACAAAGAAAGCATCCTTTAAATTTTTTAAATCTTTCAGTAGCTCTATGATAATGTAATATTGTTTGTCAATAACATACAAATTAAATCCCTATTAAATGATAACACAGACCTAACATTATTGAATAGGCAGATCTTTTTACTATCTTTACACTGTGTACTGCATTGAACTATGAAAGATATTTTCAAGGCTCAGTGTCTGTTAACTTAAATAAATATTTACTTACTTGATACTATTTATAATCCAAGAATGAAATGAAGAATCTGTACGCAGCTTTACACTAAACAAACACTCTGGTCATTTTAAACATATTTATCACTATTCACATAGATACACAAATATATGAAACAACCATTGCTAGATACTATAAACGGGGTTTTAGCCTTGATTATTAAATGGTAGAAAGACTTTCAAAAGCCCGAAGAACCGAAAAAATACACACAAACTAAGGCGTTGCCAAATATCTTCACAGAAGAAAATAATTTACAACACCACATTCACTGATCAACCGCACTGTTGCTGCTCTTCATCGTTTATTATAATCCGATAATTTATAAAAGTCTTCGATTCGTATCCAACAAACCTACGTCGGATTGAATAGCGTTTACCTACGTACCTATGGCTGGTACCCACTCACGATAGAATTGTGATTTTATGCAGAGCAAGAATGACCATACTAAATGTATGAATCACCCCACATTTGCCTAAAAATAACAAGTAGTCCTGCTATAAATTTACTCCTACATAAAATATGAGAAAAACACAATTTTCATTTTACTTTTGCATAATTCTTAGCGTAATATTTAGAAGTAGTAATTTTTATAGATTCTCAAATATACACACAAATCCTTACTAATCAGCAATATACATTATTCTTGGTCACACTGGCCAGATTAATGTCAATGAATGTCAAAATGACAGCGTCAATATAGAAATCGCACGTTTCGTTAGACATGTTTTATTTCAACAGATATAATATATCCCATAGCTAAAATAATGTGAATTTATTTACTAAATTGTTTAAGTTTTTATCATAGTAGATATTTATAAATATTTGTTAAAAATAATGGTTAATTGCTAATTCTTTCTTATTAGGTTTATAGATAAGATTTAAATATCGTTGCGTATGACATCTCGTGTCGAGAAGATAAACAAGACAAATTTTCTTGCAATTCACTCATAGAGGGCGTTAAACAACATTTATAAGGCACTTCTACTGGCATGTAATCTAGAAACATTTATGCCAAGTCTTTAACATTTTGTAAAAGCTGTTTAAATAGTAATTAATATTATAATTAAGAAAATTTTACCGGCTTGTTGGTCTTATGATAGCAATGTATGGGTAACAATCGACGTAACATGGGATCGATCCCCACCGGTTCGACAGGTTTTAATAAGTTTTTTATCATGTTGGACTTCGTCTGGATATTCGTCCGGGTCGAGAACCACCGTACACGGATAATAAGGCAAGAAATTTAATCGTGTTTGGATTTCAGTTTGTGGATTTCCGAATATCCAAAGCCAAAAAAGGTCAACAGCGCATCTGGTTTAGATGTTATATTGCTGAGCTATTTCACCTTTCAACAAACCCATTGCTCTCTCTGTCCTCCTCTATCATATACAGATCATTACGTAATCTTAATATTTCATTCTAGACGGGTTGAATGGTAGTTAAAATCTAAAGAAAATAAAACAAATAACAAACGTAGAAAACTATTTATTAATACACAGTGAAGACTTATACATCAAAGATATTTGAGTGTGTCACGTGCAGATACAAAGGTTCAATGTTTAAGCAGTAAATATCTTAAATTATGAGCTAAATAAAAGTAAAAAAAGATAGGACACGGTTTTAAGGGCGCAGCCCTAACAGCAGTCTTATTACTTATTGTACTTTGTAGACTCTAGTGCAAGTGACGTCCTTGGCAGTCATTACCTGTAAAATAAACATTTGTTTTAAATGAAAAAATGAATTCTTTACAGAAAACAGATGCAAAGTAGTCGTCCCCCCTTTCCCTCGGGCATGGGAGCGAAAATATTGCTGTAGGTATCCGTTTCACGGAAAGTAAGTTGACCAGACTTCCGTGCCCTAGCATACCGAAACAATTTTTTGTTTCCCCGGGATTCGACCCAGGATCTCTAGTTTTTAATGCATTGCTACGCGACACATTAACCATTTAGCTACAGAGGCGGCCAAAATTAAAGTCCAAACTTTGCCAATTAAATTGATCTAACAAATATATTAGCAACATAGTGTTCTAATGTCTCCGTTCGTTCGCTGAAATTTGTTTATTATTCTATGCTATTTTCTACCCACCAAGAATGTTTCTAATCATTTGCGACATCTGCCGTCCATGAAGGAAAGCTTCTTGCGACGCCATAACACTTATTCCAACAATCCGTTAAAAAAATAGACTACACGCTCAGTTATTACAATAATTAAAACAAACTTCTCGCTCTAATGTGGTGGATTTTTACAAGAAAGGTATAAATTTTAAGTCAAACACATAAAAAACAAGTAAATTGTAAATTTACAGCGTCACGCCTAATCATTTTATTGCCATCAAACGCCCGCTAAATGTTGATAACAACGTTATACATTATATAGTCTGTGACGTGTTCTTTTTGTCGGTCGGTCGGTGAAGTCTAGACTGTTAAAACCTGTTTCCACTTTTTGTACTTACAGCCTTCATCTCCTCGGGCCCAAACTCCCTAAGGTATGTGACTTCGATGCCATCGGATGACTTCTGTACCTGCTTTAGTGTGTTTCCGTCGAACGAGCACACGGTTTTGACCTGTAATTAACGAGGGGTGTCTTAAAACGATTCTCCTTATGATAATATCATTAAAATGTGGGGCCTTAACATCTTGACTGATTGATTTTTGAAATAATAAAATTGACTTATTCTAACAATAAATATTATGTATTTTCTTATTAGAACAAGCCATCAATGTAGTGTATACAGTAAATATACGTAAAAGTTAAATACTGTCCGTAGTTTACGGGAGTAGTACACATTTAAATAAAACACTTTAACGGTTTAAAACGCGATATATTTGAGTGTCGCCGTGTCCACGGCTGCTGCAAAGCATCCGACACGTCGGGCCGTAGTTAAAATTAATTTTCAAATATGTTTAACTAAAATATATCGCGTTTTAAACCGTTAAAGTGTTTTATTTAAATGCATTAATGTTAACAAAAATATATAAAAATGAATAATACAAATGTGTGGTTCATCATAAAATAACTGTTATTTTTTTATAATATGTAGAATAAACTTTAGTAACTATTTTATAAAATGTGTGTAGCTTAGGCTACAAAGTCTTCTTGAAGGTGGATACAAGAGCTCAGTTTATAAAATACATAGAATTAGTGTCTGTATTTAGATTGATATCATGTTGATCATTGTGTTAGAGTTATTTCTGATAATAAGCAACAATGGCGTGATTCTTCGAAATTATTAAAGGCATGTTAACAATAGGTGTTACTTTTCTAAGTTGAGTAAATAAGGATTTCCTTTAGACCGTATGTATGCCCCTCACTAAGGCCACGAGGCTTTTGCCTTTAAGGTGAGTTTTTCGCATTTCTTGAAGATCATGTTTGAAATATATTTTTCACTGTCACAATGCTATGTAACTTTATCTCGCTCCGATCAAAAGATGACGACAGATAAGGATTCATCGTGTAAACAGTATTTCAATTTTTACGTAATGTCTCCAGGATCTTCGACACAAAGAAACGTAACCGACAGAACATTCATTTTTGTAGTGATATTAAAAATAATATCTAATAAAACAAGTTGCCCCGAATCAAGTATAATATAGGGAAAACCGATTTGTGCAGTATTTTTGCAAAATTGGCGCTTACATGCGGTCTGATAAGATTAATGTTAAATATTGTTGCATTCTATATCACTCTCGTATATCACAGTGTTTGATAGCTTTATTAAACATTTATCAAGTTATTTTTATTATTTTATGGTAAATATTAATAAAATAATAAACCGATATAAAAATCCCATAATCTGAAGTGGACGCAATATATACGCCACATACTTGCATAAAAATGGTACCTGTTCTACGAAGGTTGAAACGATGTTTAGAAAAAGCCATTATGGCACGGCTCATTAAATTGTGAGTACTTAAGTTCAAAAATAAAATTATTTATTACACTTTAAAATTGTAATATTATATGTTCGTGAAAAACTAATTATATGAAACCAAGGTTAATTCTTCTAATTAGGATTAGGCATTACTAAATTGATAATGTAATCACTATTGCGTTATTAAAGTTAGTAAGGACAGATGGATGTTTTCGATAACAACTACTTGACTCATTTTAATGAAATTTACATTTAATACGTGATAGCTACTGTAAAAGACAATATACTAGATCTATCTGCGATAACTAGACACCACAATAAAGGGATTTTTGCTCTTTTTTTAAAGATCGAGAAGGACAGACAAGGGTTCATTTGATAGGAGGTGATTTACTCCATATAATATCTACTCGACCTATTTTGTCTTCAGACATTCGGTATTTCATCGGTCAAAGTCAAATCATTTAGGTAACTAAGTGTACGCTTGATCGTCAACAAAGTTAAAATAAGGTCAGGTGTAAAATATGGTAAAGTAAATACTGTCTGCTGTTTACGCGAGTAGTATTCAAATAAAACACTTTTAACGGTTTAACACGCAGCATCAGCACGGCTGCTGCAAAGGGTCCAAAAGTTACGACCGTGGTGTAAACAAGTTTAACAAATATGTTTCGGGTTTTAGTCGTATGTGTAAAGAATAAGTAAGAAAGAAGTAAGTGTAAGTGTTTTAATAAGTTTAAAGAAGTCATACAATTCAGATTCAAAAGGCTGCTTGGAAGTGATATGAATTGCTTCTTAGATTAAGAAATTCACAGAAGTGTATTAGTTTACAAGACATGTTGAAAAAAGCCAGATTGAGTTTCTTGGGTGTTCTTTGTTGCTTTGTCGTGTTATGTTGCTCTTCTGAACACTGTAGAATCACGACGGACGGACAGACAAACATATATTTTTTTTACGAATTTAAATAATTTTTATAATTTTATAGAGAATTATTTTATTTTATTTAAATATGGTAGATTAAATTATTTTTAAATTTGCTGGTAAAAACCCCAGCGCCATAACCAAACAACTAATACATATTATAATTTGAACCAAGTACACTGCAGCTCATTTGTATGTTCGTACGAGGAAAATTTTCCTAAAATATGTCATTCGTAATTACTCACGCTGATAACCAAACTATGATTAGGAATGCATGTGGTAATAATCCTAGGCTATGTGCAACGTTATCTGGCTTTTTATCTAGTGAAATCTAGGCTAAACAACAGTACGGTCACGCTATGCTTTTTAATCTATATTTTTTTAGTTTCCTTCATATTCACTGTTAAGCTAGATCTGATATAGAAATACAATGCACTGCGCAGTTTCTCGTTGGTTTTGGATTGATTTAGCGGAACCACTAAAATTTCAGATGTTGAAAATCATCTATTGACAATCTTTTTTGCAACAAGCAGTCATAATTAACCGACATTTTACGATAGTGCGATCTTTTCTTAGAGCAATGATAGTGAGGTAACAAGTATCCATCTACTCTATTACTACTAAGTTTGATAGGGACACGGTGAAACATGGATAAGCTGTAGAGGGGAAATAGAAAATAATAATAGCAAGCACACATCAATTGAAGTCCCGTAGTACCAAGTTGTAATAAAATAAAACATATAAAGTAGAAAGCTTGGTTTCCAATCAGACAGATATTTTCTTTCGGCATTTCTCACGAGCCATTCGTCATTTATATAATGTATATAGATGTCAGTTACCTTAGCACCATCAGCCCGCTCCTCATCGAACTCTTCGCCAGGCTTGAACTTCATTTCTGTGGTCTTGAAGGTCGACGAGGTCACCAGGACAAAGTTGTCGCCATCTTTTTTCAGTTCAACGGTGGGCGTAACTGCATTCGCCGCTTTGCGGGTTATCAGGCCGACACCTTTAATTTAAAAAATACACTAAGGGCACGTATAGGACAATACGAAGTATTGGTTTATATTGTCACTGCTATTGTTACGAACGCCAGATAAACTTGAGGAAGGTCAATACGACCGCCGATAAAGCGGTTATTTTATTATTATCTATTCTATCTGTAAGTGAGATTTATCGAAGTATGTGCAAACCACTTATCTAAATTTTTAAAAAAAGATTTGAAATTGTAAAAGTTTACGACACGGGCACGACTTGAACCTGCATTCACAGCGTGCTGTTGTTCTAACCAATTGAGCTACAGTACCAAATTGGCAGTTTCAAGTCCCATAATGTGAAAAATATTAGTTTTCAAAAAATACTTTTCTAATATTAAGTATATCTAAAAAACATAATCAAGATATGCATTTGTCGAAACGGAAGAATTTATGAACCTAATATTACGAAATGAGGTATAATAATGACCACATCATTTTAATTTCTCCAGTTTTAAATATATTTTATTTATAGAATTTTATTCATAGAAAAATATTTTATATGTAGATTAAGAGGATTTTTACGAGTTACAAACCAAGCCTCTTCATAAACTCATCAAAATTCTCAGATGAAATAAGTTTGTATTTCTTTCCCAATGTGAAAGTGATGTCATCTTCAAATGAAATCATTCTATGTTTTATAGATACAAAAAGATATAATTTACAATTATTGTTATATCCTTTGATTCTACGAAACAATGTGACTTATGACAAGTTATACCACAGATTAGTTTTATTGATAGCTAAAACGTCTGTTTAGGGAAAATCAGAAAAGGTTTTATATTATTTAAATAAAACCTAAATCAGAACAGATAAAAAATTATAGTGTTCCTATCGAAGCAGTTTCCGTATGCTTTACTTACTACTTATAAACTATTCTCAAAAACTTTGAATTGTATATATATAGTACACTGGACATAAAGAAATATTTAAAAAAATAATCGTATTAAAACGAGACCTCAAGGTTTGGCTTTTCTCAATTGCATTACACACAGAGTAATCAAATGATAAGATTCTCTTACCAAATATTACTCGCGTTAATTATAGACTAGTTGAGTTATTTATATCTAATATGAGGCCGCTAGAGCCAGAGTAGCCTAACGGCAATTTTATGACATAAGTTATTTCTTAAAGTCTAAAAATGTTAATCTACAGGAGCACAGTAACCGACATTGTTAACATAATTCTTACACAAATAAAAGTACAAATTAATTTTCGCCTAAGCTAATTGCGCATTTTTATTTTCCTCCTTAATAAAAAAACATGTATTTTGTCATTAGGCCACTTTGGCTCTAGCAGGCTCATATTATATACGATATTAGATACAATGAACCGGAATCCCTATAAAACAGTCCATTAGGATTCTAAACGGTAACAAGGAATAATTCACATCCTCTTTACTACCGCATTCCACAATGCAACTCCTTTGAGACGTAATTTAAAGATGGCGGCGTAATCAATGCGAAAAGACGAATGCATTGACTTGTGAAGAACCGGTAGTCCTAGGGGAGCATGTGGTTCGTAATTAATTATTTATGCGTTGAAGTGATCCTATAACCGCACATTCCTTGCTGCGGTTTTTTTTAACTCTATGAAAAGCGTTCAGATGTTAGGTGCTTATATTATAAAGCTGAAAAAAATATTAAAAATTATTTTGCTTAAAAATTAGTCTGAACGCTAATCTCAGGAACTACTGGTTCGAATTGAAAAACTGTGTTGGTTCGAACATTTATCAAGGAAGGCAAAAAACATCAGGTTGTGATCAATGGGAGCGAAGAATAAGGGGGAAGTGTGGAAAAACCGGGAAAATTATTTAACTATGAGAGTTTCCGTTGTGCGCTGCGAAAACTGTTCAAGATACCCAAAAAATATATAAAAATAACGATTTCACTTTAAATGATCTAAAACAATATTTAGTTTTTAGATGTCTTTCTAGAAGATTAGGTTGCAATAACGAATAAACGCGGGGACTAGACACAGTAAACGCAGAGATGGGCAGATGAAAATTTTAGAGTAATCGAAAAAAGTCTAGCCAAAGCTTAAAACTAATTAAAACGAGACGGTATAAAACATATTTTAGAAAACGCTATTTACTATTAATTATTACTAAAAAGCAGACAAATAAACCGCTCAAAGTCTAAGGTTTAGTTATATATATTATTCAACTGTTTATGTAAAACGTTCAATATGACGCAAGATTTATTACCAATAGCATATTTGTGGTTTGGTGACGAGAAACCAAGGGGCAAATTAATGTGAAAATGAGTTTTAATATTGACATTCGACAGAGAACATTGTTAATAATAAGTCCATTCATTCGCATAAAACTTGACTCCACTGAGACTACAAGCTCATGCACGTCTGTTTGTTTTTAACGCGAGTAGTTACACATTTAAAACGATAAGCCATAAAAGATTTGCATGGCTGAAATAAAACACTAACGGTTTTAAACGCGATTAACTTTGAAAATTATTCTAACTACGTAACACGTAGTTAGAATAATTTTCAAACCGACGTTGCCCCAGTCTGCCCTGCTGCGAAGCATCCGAAACATCAGGCCGTAGTTAATATAGAATATAAAGAATAATCGAATCAGAATAAGTTTAACTAATATATATCACGTTTTAAACCGTTAAAGCAAAAAAATAAAAAAATCGTTAAATCATGCATCTATCATGGATTTTTCGGACCCGATTTTTGAATTTACGTAAAAATTATTATTATTATGTGGGTGCGTAGATAAATCAATGTAACGCGAAATCTGATTGGTCCATTTGTGGGCGCGGCGGGTTCGTATTGGCCACACAAGTGTGGTGCGACATCAAGGTCAATGTCCTATGAATTGGTGTAATTTTTCAATTGAAAGCCAATTTGTATTGAAGTTTTGTTAGACGATAAATCTGCTTTGAATATCTTGATGTGACAGTATCATATAATACACTTTTATGAGTAAATTGGATAATGCCATAATAGTAAAATGGGGGTTGGTAAAACTGATAACGAAGCTTTCATTCCGGGGCCTAATAGGCTAAAACTCTCTTTTACACAATGTAGAGGTTGGGGCGGACACGTTTCTCCAGTCTGTTCGTAAATATCCTGTTTTCCCGGTTTGTCAGTTCCAAACAAAAATAACGCTATCCAAAAATAATAATATGCTAAAATAATATTACTTGTATTTAATTTTTTTATTGTAATATAACGTAAAATTCGATTTTATATTCGAGTATATTAGTAATATAGAAAAGCCAAACCTCTAATTTTACTTAGTAAAGAAATAATGACACCAAGAAGTAATCATTTGTATATATTTTTCTGTATACAGATAAACGACACACCAATTCAAAGACGTGATGTCAAACTAATTTGGCTTTGGATATTATATTTTAAATCTGTCGTTATTATTGTTATTCTATTGTCTGTGAATATCTATTAATACAAAGTTAACACTGTCGTTTAGGTATTTGGTCTATAAATACGTCTCAGTACTTTGATACGGTCACCGACTGTGACACTCGATGGACATTGATCTTGCTGTATAGAATTCGAAACGTATATACCAACGTGTTACACCTACAAAAAACTAATGTCTGCGCCCGCGTCGAATTTAGTATCAAATAATATTAAGAGGCACTGGAGCATTGCATTTTTTCGCGTGTGATTTTAGCTCAATGTAAATTCAAATGGTAGATATTTTAAAATTTTTAATCACTTCTTTTATGTTTAAGTTTTACCAATGAATAAGTTTCAATCCATAAAGTATTTTTGATACCTAAAAACCGTTAGTACTGCTAATTAAATGCAAAACGAAAAATGTTACTCAATAATAAATTATTCGTTGTTGAAATATTTGAATAGCGTAGAGGTTGATATAGATGTTGTTGATTAATCCACATATTTGCAATTACGCCATAGACCTTTGCACTTTTGGCATACAGTCGTGAGTCACAGACCGGACACCAGTGCAAGATGTACGAGAACATCCTAGTCTCAACAAACCGTCTTATTGAATGAATTGATGCTGATTGGCGTCGATTTACCGACAATTGTGAACGGCGGGCTCCAATGGGAGGCATCCAAGCCTCGGGATGTTCTCATGCCATTCTAATTAAGCCATGGTACCCGCTTCAGCTATTGATTGTACCCGCAGATCTTTATGATTTTACAATACGTCAATTTAATATGCCGTTCGACAAAGAACGGTTTACTGAAATGACGGGTGTTCGATTTTTGAAAAAGACCAAATCGTGGTCGTCAAAGAAAACTTTTTATGCAAGTTTTGCTCCATCCGTATAACATTTACAAGACTCGCTAAATTATGTAGGTAATAAAAACATTTTAAAATATCATAAATTAAAAATGACAATAATAATATTGCTATAATTTTTAGATACATGACATACCTATTCTGATATAGATAAACACAACGTGATTTGTATTTCGCTGAATAAGAAATATCTTTATCAAACATGAGATGAAATCTTAATCCTCGAAAGAATGTAGGTAGTAAGCATACATACCGACTCCGTAGAATGGCAATGAATTATACCATAATTATAAATAAGGCATTTATTGTTTGATCAATGACAACTTTTAATGTTAAAAAGATACTACCACTGTAAAATATGTTTTATCGAATTATACAAAAAACACTTGTTAATCATAGCATTAATTGCACCTCTATTAAAAAATATAGTCTTAAAATAAATCCTATTAATATTTAACAACGATAAATGAATATGTACGGTACAAGTTACAAGACTGCCTTGTTATAAAATGAGTAATAAAATTTAAAAAGTACGGAAAATTTATCGAATACTGCATGAGGTCATTCCACGTTACAATATCTAAATGATAACGTTATCTTGCATCGGTGAGAATATAACTTGTAGTTTAGTAAAGTCCAAAAAGCTTGGAATTTAACCGCGATAACTGTTATTACTGGGAAGTAAAGTACACCGCGGATTAGGAACATGTATCAATTGCATATAATATATTATATGACTTTATTACGAGTAACTTTCGCTATGACGTAAAATTTTAGATATGACATTTTTATTTACGGGTGCAATATTTGTTTCTAGCTACATAATCGTTAACGCTTTGAAACTCGAACTGTTATAACAATTACAATGTCTACCTACCCGACGTTTCGAATGCTTTACGGTCGTCGTGGTCACGGTTAAGTGTTTAATTTAATGTGAACCACTCGCGTTAGCTACAAAATAGATAAGTTGGTATTTGTATTAGATTTATTCATCCAATAGCCTCACAGGAGTTAAATTAAAAACGTTGCGATGTTTCTTTGAAACACCACGGAGCAGCGGTATCGGAACACATTTTCGAGCAAAAACATTACATTAGCATTAATAAAGAACTCGTAGTATTACTAATCAGTATAGCAAAATGCAATAAACAGTAAAATTCTCCGAAGGAAACGCCCTCATTTGAATCATTAAGTGAGCTAATAAAAGATAATAGATATCTTCTGAAGAGGCCCGTTGATATAGCAATCGATAGGAACAAAGCAACTTTTCAACTTTTTATCGACTCTTTATGAATGCACATTACCATCTATGTATGCGTTGACGGTTGAAAACGATTTTATTTTTTTCTAAGCAGCCATTATCTTAATATTTTAATTCGAGGGGTGCCAGTTTATTCGTAGTAACAGAAAGTATTTTTAGATAAAAATATATTAGCTTTAGGCATGGGAGATTTTTAATCATAAATTTATTTATTTTTATTTATTTAATTTTAAACATAAATAATAAATCGTCAAAGAATTGACCCTGATAATAGCCGTTAGCTACTGAAAAGATATAAATGATTTTTAAAATATATGTAGTATGTACCAAAAAAGGTTGGGAACCTTAGTAATCTGTAGCTTTACTTTTTACTACTTGACAGAATATGGAAAATACTTGATAGAATATGGAAAACGTGATCTCGATTGTTTCAACCACGTTATCACCGCCTTACCTACTTATTTTTATTGGAAAAGGTAGGTAAGAAGTTCGTTACATCGTAAGAAAAAGGAAAATTATACTAATAAACACATGATTTTTTCATAATTTTAATACTTTTGTTTAATTTGAAGTGTAAGTTGAAATCTATTTTACACTAATATAAATAAGATTGCAATCAACTATAAAATACTTAACATACTTATTCTAAAAAAGTAAAAATTTTATCAAGAGTAGACCTATTATTTATTTATTCTTACAAAATTTCTGAACCTAAATCGGTGAAAGACGATCGTACTAAAAATTGTATACAAGTAGGTAGATAAAATAAAAAAATAAGACCAAAAATAAGTCCTGTGCACCCTCGGTCTTTATACAGTTTCAGAACATCAATAAAAAAAGCATATAATTAAACATATTTACTTGTTAAATTTAAGAAGAAATAGGTACTTAAACCGCAAACATCGCGTGGTTCGCTAACCGCCGGCCGGCAAAAAGCCGGTGTCCATTAAAATTAAAACAAACCCCTCACAAATAAAGAATATACTGCATAATAATACTTACCGATAGTCTTCATGAACTCGTCGAAGTTCTCTGAAGATACCATTTTGTATTTCTTGTCTACAAACTCCATTTTAAATTATTTACTGGAATATTTACAATTAGAACAACCTTCTTTCGCGCTCGCTTCAACGAGAATGAGGAATGGTCGATGAAGTTATCTATGAACTGCAAGAGACCGAGTCAATGTGCGAATAGGGCGGTGCCAGACCAATGCGGCGATATTAAAAAGTTCCTATCGTTAATAGCATGCTTATATTAAAAGCAGATTACATTGTAAAGTGAAGTGCACTAGGCTTATAATTAACTTATTATTTTTTTTGGAAATTCTGCATTAAATGTGATTGAACATGCATATTTTACGATGGCAATGCTCTTATATACGTTTAATCAAAATAACATCGCGACTTACTTAGACATGACATACGTTTTTAGAAACTAGTCAGCACTAGATGTATGAGTCACTTCGTTAGACTTTGATTTGGGGGTGTTGACCATGAGTTTCTCCGAAATTATATGATACTTTAGTAATTATTCAGTAAATGTAGTGTAATAGAAAAACTAATATTTTAAGTTCCCTCTTTCAAGAACTCAATTACAAGTAAATTGAAGAAAGGAAAAGGTTTCCTTTCTTAAAAGTACCTAAAAGTAACAACCAAAGTATCATCTTTTGGCAAGATTTTATTTAGGGGTTGTATTAAAAAAGCAGTATATATTTATGATTCATACTTATGCTTAGTAGTAGTATCATTTTTTTAAATTTTGAGATATTTATAATCTATGTCTTACTTGATGACATTTTGACTCTGTGGAGAATTTTTAAGTAGCGGGAAATTAATATTTTAATAACAGTTTATTTTTATGTATTAAACACGGACCCTAAAAATTACAAAATAAAAAAAAATATGTGACTAAAATAAATAATTTAAGATGACTGATGATGATTTTAGCCATTACGTACCTTCTATTCTAAATCCACGATCTGTAAAGAAATCTGATTTAAACTTGACACAGGTGGATATCCTGTATATACTTTTGTTTTAAGCTATACATTTTTAAATAAAATGTTTGTACAAGCTTTAATAATTCTTTGCAGCGATCAATATTCACTCAAAATTCACTGTCCTTAAAAAGGGTCAAAGTTCCATCAGATACGTCTTACAAGAAGTCAGTTAAGGGTTTAGGGAAGGTACGGAAGTATGAATTGCATTACACTATTTTTTTATTATTTTATGTAGCAATAATAACTCTATTATCTTAATAAATCTTACAGAAATTTCAAAATAACAAAGAGAATATTGAAATCTCAAGTTGTGTTACTGAAAAGATAGATTTTGGACCTCTGGACAATCAAGAATCTTGGAATTCCATTAACTTCAGTTCAAAATCTTTATCAACATTGGAGTCTAACAATTCAGCCACATCTATTCTAAGATCTGACAGATCATTAGCAACAGATTTATATGGAAAAGCAGACAGGGAAGCATACAATGTCTCAGTTTCTTTAAAACATTCAAAAATCACAATAAGTACTAAAGGCAACTCTATAAAGAATATTGCAGTATCAAACTCAAATACAAAAATGCATGTCAGTTGCATAGTTGTTGAAAGTTCAGTTTCTGAACAGGAGTCAAGTCCAGATAAGAAGAAACTTTCTATACAGAGTCGTTCAAAGAGATCAAGTGCATCTGTCAATCTAGAAATAAAAAAACAAAAGTTATCACACAATAAAGAGGGAGAGAAGATTCTTATTTTGAAATCCTGTGATGCCAAGCTGTCAGATGTCATAGTTCAGCCAACAAATTACAAATTTATCAAACAAAAAATTCAAGACCAATGTAAATCTGTTTATGAAGTGAGGAATGGGAAGATTGGTCATTTGAAACAACGATCTATTGACTCATACTTTGCTAATGTCAGTCGGTTAAAGCAGGTTTCTGAAGGTAAATTAGCTTGTTTGGGGAATGCTAGTTTAACAGATAAGGATTCAGCACAGAATGTGTCACATGACATGAGTAGAAACTTGTGTGTTGCTGCTAGACATGACACCCAATCCACTAAAAATGGTAAACGGATTGAGTATTGCAAATCTCCAAGGAAATTGTCGCACAGATCTATGTCTCCGAGAGTGGAGACCAAGGAATCTTTTACACCAGCGAAGGTAAAGAATGAAAGTTTAGGTTCCTACTCGCCGAGGAGAATTGCAGATTCCATACAGTTCAGTTTGCCAGCAAAATCTAAGTCGAATAAAACTTCCACTGTGAATAAAGTTGTTCCACATTATAAAATCGTTGCAGGTAAGATAATTATAAATATAAAATAATTATAAAGTAAATATATGTTTGGAAAATTAATAAACAGATTGTAATGAAGTTAAACTGTCATCCTACTACTATTATAAAGGCGAAAGTTTGTAAGTATGGATGTATGGATGTATGGATGTATGGATGTTTGTTACTCTTTCACGTAAAAACTACTGAATGGATTTGAATGAAACTTTACCACAATATAGCTTATACATCAGAATAACATATAGGCTACAATTTTTGAGGTTTTTAATGTCGGGTCGTAAAAAAACAAATTTTTTGCGCTTACATTGCAAACGCTGACTGAATCCTACAAGATAGATCAAAACAATGTACTACAGTATTGTACAACTTAAAAAGGTCTCCAAAAAAGTCCGTGATGGTATATGTTTATCTCTTAGGAATAACCCACAATAACCATTTTTTATCCTTTACTTTGTACGAGAAATAATGGCTTATTTACGAAGCGATTTTAAGCAATACAGTATTAATCCTTATCCAATTAAGTATCTTAAATACATTGTGCATTTATTAAAGATCAATATGGCTTTTTACAGCATGTAAATTAAATAAATATTTTCGAAGATATCACAGATTTAAAATGCAGAATCATAGGAATTTCGGCGATAAATACCGGCAGCGGTGCCAGGCGAATGGGGCGTGGGGGGAGCGGGGTAGGTGCGGTAGGGAAGAAGTGGCTCATCGCTGAGTGCGCGACCCGAAATCGGGCAGACGCGTGAGGGCAGACGTCGTTGACGGTTGTGTCCGTTTTGCGCATTTTCAAGGCACTAGCGATTTGATAAAAACGTATGGTCGCCTACTTTTAGTTATATAAGCCTAAGGTTGTTATTGCCAGGTTTCTTTTTGGTTAGGAGTTACACGTACAAAAAGATACTTCATTTAATTCAATTACTATATAGATAGGTTAATTAAATAGGCAAGGATTGCATTAAAGTACAATCATAACAATAACTACCGTACTGTATTTTTTGGAAGTATAGAAACAACACGTACTTAAGAATTATGCCGCGAAAGCGTAAGTCTAATCTTTCTGAAGCTCTGATAAAACTCGAAATATGAAAGTAGCTAGACTTAATGAGACGTTTCCACAAGCCGAACTGCGAAGGCTTAAACAAGCAGAGCGTGAGGCAGCTCAAAGAGCTGCTGAGACACCAGAGCAGTCCCAAGATAGACGTCGACACCATGCTGAGTATCTAGCATCTCAACGGGCTGCAGAGACACCCGAACAGTCTCAATCTCGACGTCAACAGAACGCTGAATATCTGGGATCTCAACAGGCTTCTGAGACACCCGAACAGTCGCAGGATCGACAGCATTCGATAAAACTGCATTTGAGTACGATGAAACTCTTGATTACGAAAGCCACAAGCTTATAAAAATAGAAGCGATGAATAAAGAATGCAGATTTTGCGGTGCTCTTAAATGGAAAGAGGAAGCAGGAGGCATGTGTTGTTCGGGAGGAAAAGTAGTTCTTCCTTCAATAGACGAGCCTGTTGAACCTCTTAAAGAACTTTTTTTCAAATGAAACAGATGAGTCTCGCCGTTTTTTAAAAAACATAAAAATTTTCTCACGGTCAGCTCTATGTGGCTTGCTCACGTCTTTCCAAAGCGAGGAATCTGCATGTTTATGCTGAAGGAAAAAGATCGTTAAATGTAGTTTATAGGAGCATACTGCAGTAGCGACCTATAGACCTATGATTAGGGCTCTGCAGTGCTTAGTTACCGTATTTCTAACTGATTACTAGACTAGACGGGACGAACCTGAAGTCCACGCGAACGAAGTCGCGGGCAAAAGCTAGTTATTAATAAATATCTCGATTAGTAGACTAAAATACTAAAGTTTTGGCAGTTTACGAATATAACTTGATGGAAACTATAAACCTTTATCTTATAATTGTGTTTATTTAATTTAGGGTAAGGCGTAATTAAAACTGTTAGGAAGGTCCTCATTTGAAACCTTGATTTCAAATTAAGGTTTAGAGTTGACTTTCACTTTTGGTTATATAATTGTGAGATCGAGAGGCGGTGAATAACTTTAGATGCTGTTTATTATACAATTAATTAAAGTTATGAAGTAATTTATAGTATAGAAGATTTCCATTGTGGATAGTATATTTATCAACTGCTCATGGAGATGCTAAATGATTATATATGAAATAGGTCAACAAAAATACTTATAAAAAATCAATGGTCCAAAAATAACTAACTAATATGGCAACGTGTGGCTAATATCCAACGGGTCGTTGGTTCAACCCCCCACCGGGTCCTGCCCGTTTCTTGTAATTTATAACCTTTCTAAAACATGTTGGATCTCATTTGGAAATCTGAATATTAAATGGGTACTTATAATGTTGAAATTTGTGGATTTCCGAATATCTCAAGACAATAGGTCGATAGCTCATCCTATTGAGTCTTTATATGGATGGGGTATTTCACCCTTCATCAATTGAACTCCATGCTATCTCTGACCTCCTTCCTGTATCAACAAAACCTTATTTAGTGAAAATACTCGTCAGAGTCGCAACCTAACATTGAAGAAGTGTGGTAGCGAATTGTGGTGGTTAATCCTGTAGGATACTAATAGGCTGTCTTATTACATTCCAGGTACTCATTTTGCAGTAGATGCTTTCTCTTATGGAGACATACCAAATGTTAGACACTATTTCCTTACACACTTCCATTCAGACCACTATTCTGGATTGAAGAAGGGTTTTAACAAAATGCTATTTTGTTCCAAAATTACTGGTAAATTATTAGAATTAAACTGTGTTGGTAGAGATGTTTGTTCATGTTCAAACGGCTAAACCAGTTTTGATTGAAATTGAGATTCTCCTTTCTTATTTTTTTATGTATATTGTTTTCATAATTATTAACTTTATTTTAATAAAACATTTCAACGGTTTAAAACGCGATATATATTAGTTAAACTTGTTTGAAAAATATTTTTACTACGGCCCGACGTTTCGAAAATTAAGTACTATTTACTTGCGTATATTACAGATAAAACTTTGTTTTAATAAAATTGATGAAAAATTTGCAGCGGATCTTTGCATCTCCAGATTGGGCGTGGGCGTAAAGTATATTCATATAATGAACGTGGACGAAACTATTAAAATTGATGGGGTCGAAGTAACAGCGATTGACGCCAACCAGTGAGTTTTTGCTTTGAGTGTATTATATTGACTTCACGCTTCAAGGAATTTTACTAATAAAACCGGGGTAGTGTGAATTTTACTTTAGCATGTACCATTGATTAGATAGCAAATGGGTTGTCTACCTATTTATAAAAGTTTAATATTGTGTGTTTTTTTTCTAGAGGCATTTTTGGTTTTTGCAAATATTTCAAATGCAAAAATTGTGTAAATCCACTACAAATATTGATGTTATTCTAAAATATATTATGTTTTTTTTATTATCGCAGCATCTAAAATATATAACGCGGATCTTTTTGGTACAGAACCCAGAACTACTCCAAATAAAATATATGCAGAATATTAATATTGTGGCTGTTTTAATATTTATTATTTTGCTGAAAACATTAAAATGAGTCAATATATTTTATTCAGTAAAGATAACTTTACCCTTATATTGGCTATTATTATATTAAGCAATAATTTAGGAAATGTTAAATTTTCCTAATTTTAAACGTATTAAGTTTTTGTTCTGTGCAACAAAATTTATACAAAAACGAAAGTCAATCGTATTTAATAATTATAATATAATTGCTAAGCAAGAAATGGATAACCTTGTTTTTTCTAATAACACCTCATTTTCCCTACTAGAAAAGTAGGTCTCAATTCATTGTATGACTGTGTGTACTGAGTGTAGCTATTTATTCATGGAAATGACTTTTCGCAGCTGTCCAGGTGCAATAATGCTGGTCTTCAGTCTTCCCAACGGCAAGACTCTGCTGCATACCGGAGATTTCAGGGCTTCACCTGTTATGGAGTCGTATCCCATTTTCTGGAATAAAGACATTCATACCGTCTACCTTGATACTACGTAAGAAGTTTATTACAGATGTTTCTGTGATAATTATGTACAGACGTACAATTTAATGCCTCAACGTCTCGGGCTGTGACCCCCCCCCCTTTTATCATGAGGAAATCAGGAGCAAATAGGTTATGTCAGATTTAAACCGACGCGAGCGACGACCCTCTTTCACTTTGAATCATTGCATGAACACACAACAAGGGCCGTGGCCCCACCACATACCGCCCTTTAAGAACCGCGCTCTTATATAGGACCAATTACCAAATATAAAAATTTAAATAGCTCAATGCATATGTCCTAAAATAAAAATCTTTATATAAACTTAGGTATTGCAACCCACGCTATGACTTCCCAACGCAGGACGAAAGTCTAGAGAGGGCGCTCTTTCACCTGAGACAGAAGAAAACGGCGCTCGAGAAAGCTGGAAAGAAATTCTCGTCCGTCCTAATCGTCTGTGGCACATACACTATCGGTACGAATCGAGATATAAATTAGATTAGCACTCTTCTTCTGAACTTAAATAAGGCAATTCCAAATAATTTTGAACAAATTGCTTTTATTTCGGTAACGGGCACAATCGTGACAATTTAATCACTGTCTACTTTCCCTTTTTTTCATATGATTCTTCGATATAGAAATGTGTTCTGCCGGAGTTAGACATTTTTACCAATTTCAATGAAACACTTTAACGGTTTAAAACGCGATATATTTAACTAATAAACTTATTTGGAAATTATTTTAACTACGTAACCATGGCTGCTGTGAAAACGGTTTAAATAATTTTTACCCGTTAGAAAAACTGCACTGTGCGGCAACAGCAGTATTGACTTCACAATATTTATTATATTTAAACGAACTACATGAAAGACTTACTTTTGGTGTGGTGGTATGTTTGTTAAAGATAATTTCTAAAAATATTTCCTATCGGGTAGGTAAAGAGAAATTCTTTCTGGGTATGGCGCGTCGCGTGGGCTGCACGGTCTGGGCTTGCCCCGAGAAGGACCGAGTGCTGCAAGCCGTGGAAGGTCGGAGTTTCAGCCACGCCCCACCTCAGTCTTGCCAGTTGCACGTCGTACCTATGCGGGACCTCACTCACGAGGTACGATGTAATTTAATATTTAGATTCTACCTTCATAAGTATCTAACGTCAAAATTTTACGTACGCACGTAGTTCACTTGATGGAAGGTGATATACCCCAGCCATATAAAATCGCAACAAAAAGCGCTTTTGACCTATCTTGGCCTTGGATATTCGGATATCCACAAACGTCCTTGACCCGGACGTAATTCTTTTATTCCGACTACCCGTATAATATACAGTTATCCAGATGAAGTTTCGTAAGTGTAAAAAAAATATTTTTTTATTATTCGGGAGGACAGACTAACGTTTGATAAACTCTTGAGCCTTTTAAAATTTCAACAAGATGTGTTGTCGACCTATTTTAGCTTTGAATATTCGGAAATCTACAAACTGAAACGTTATTAACACACTCGCTTTTTCGTGGTTCGTGACCCGAATTCTCCATATTCCTACCACCCATTTTATATCCAGTTATCTAGATTAAGAAGTAAATTTTACGTTTTACAGAAGTTACGCAGTTACCTGGACAGTCTACAAGGCGCATTTAGTGAAGTTGTGGCTTTCAAGCCGAGTGGATGGGAGAACGGCAAGAACTCCTCCGTCGAAAAGGATTCTGTCACTATACACGGTAATGAATCTCAAATACATACATATATAAATTAAAGAATGAGAGCAAATAAGCAATTCTTGGTTTACCCCTTTTTATGACAGAGGGAGGGGGGGTCAAACTATGCCTTTAGTTATCTAACTAAAGGCATAGTTTGACTCCCCCTATCCCCCCCCTATGTATCTACATAAGCTTCGAATAATTATATCTTTAACTTTGCCTATAAATGTTTCAGGTATACCGTACAGTGAACATTCAAGTTTTTCAGAAATGATCCGATTCGTGAAGTATCTAAAGCCGAAGCAAGTTGTTCCCACCGTAGACATTTCTGGAGGCATAAAGGCTGTTCAGGTATATATTTCATGCTGTTGAAAGGGAAATAAACGCCATAATGAAATTTTAATATTTAGCCTAGGATACTATGTAGAGTGGGCATTCCTTGATTGTGGGCATTGATATTAAACAATTATATAACATCCTGCTTTGTAATAATGTAAAAAAGCTATAATAATATATTTGTTGATTTTTGTCAATTAAAGTAACCCCCCCACCCCATCCTTGGCCGTATACTTTTCTTTGTCCATTTCAAAAATGTTTTTTATAGATGAGTATATAAATAAAATACTGTTAACGGTTATAAACGCGAAATATATCAGTTTTTAATGGTCACGGTTACAATGCCGCCGATATATCAAGTAATTAAAATAAGTTCACTAATATTTCTTACACTTTTACTAGGGTTTTATTTACATATGTACTGTTCGCTTAAACTACTGACGGTACTGCACAGGCAAGTAGTTTACTAGACTTCTGCCCTGCCGAACCGAAACAAGTTATTGTCTCCGGGATTCGAACCCTGAAGAGATGGTCAATCAATAAAGTTCATTATTTGGATTTTACATGTTTTATACATCCATAGATGTATAATGAATAACATGTTATATGTTGTTATCAGAAGTACTTCCCTTGTCCGCTGGTGTACAAAGAAGATCTGCAAAACCAGGCCAAAGTCACCGACTACTTTAGTATACAGAGCAGACATCAACCGGCTATTACCTGAATTATCATTCGAAGGTACATAACTATATATTAAAAGTGAAATTTATAAGAGTCCTTGGAGTATAATTGGAAAATATTTTAGAATAAGACTAAACATATATTCAGTAGTAATTTCTTTACGGTCCTCCAGGGTTCAATTAAATATGGACTGGTACAAATTTTATTTTTTCAGTATCAGTAATTTTTCGATTATAACTATGACTTCGGAGTGCTTGAAGTTTACGTGAGTAGTCCACATTCAAATGAAAACCTTGGAAACAGATGGCGCTAGTGTAGCAGATTTGACTTTGACATTGGCACATTTCACCTTTACATTTGCTATGTATATGCTATAAATCATTAGAAAGGCGGTTGTTAAAATAAATGAAAAATAAGTTATGTCGTCCGTTTCGAACCGTTTAGCGTTTTGAATAAATGTCTATAACTTAAATAAAACACTTTAACGGTTTAAAACGCGATATATTTTAGTTAACCTGTTTGAAAATTATTTTTCACTACAGCCCGACATTTCGGATGCTTTGCAGCAGCCGTTAACGAGTTTAACTAAAATATATCGCGTTTTAAACCGTTAAGTTTTATTTAAACGTGTACTACTCGCGTAAACTACATACAGTATTTAATGTCTATAACTTCTGATTTATCATGCTTGTATTGCGTAACAAGAGAGCGGTCCTGGAGGGTTTGAGTTCTCCTTTTATTTTCAGATTCAAAAACATTACCGGCCCCTTCAGATGCCATCCTGGACTGTGATCGACGTACTGTTTTGATATTATTGCCTTAGCGTTATATTTATGAAAATGTTATTTTCTTTGTGATTTTTATAAAAGTAAAACTTGGTATCTGTTTTCTTCTCGTTTTAATGGCAAACACCAATGCGTACACGTAGATCTTTATTCTCAGAAAATGGATCTAATGAGAAAAATGTGGTACTTATTAATAGACCCTGTGTTAATCGAATCCCTTGATGCTGTATTAAGTTATTGATATTCGTTCAAATAAATATCATTAAAATTTGGGTATTTCCAGACGAAGCCCAACATATTTGAGAAAAATTATAAATTAATTTGTTGTAGTGCCTAACCCACAGGACGAGTGCGGTACTGACATGTCCGCTTGAATGATTATATTTTAAGTAACTAAAAAGCAAGGTTTAAATGGAATAAAATTTAATTTGTAACATCAGCTATAACATTACATATCTCATCTACACTAGATTCAATTTTAAAATACAGATATTAGTTTGGGATTTTCGAGGGGATTATCACAATTATCAGCTCCCTTGCACGTGAGCATCTGGGTAAGAGTCAGTTTATACCAATGCCGGATTGAGGGAAATACGTCGTTCACTATGTTCTTCATTTCGTACGGATCCGAATTCAGGTTGTACATTTCTTTGAAGTTCTGCAACAAAAAGAAAATGTCTCATTACACCCTGTTTGGCATTGGGTGAGCATATTTCTGTGTCCGTTTTACTGATCGATATAAGTAGAGGGTCAGTTATGTGTACTGTCCGACCAAAACAAATTAAGTTTTTCAGGAACCTCTATTTGACGAAACATGTGTGTATTTTTAAAATGCCATAAATAAAATTTAATAGATTATATAAATAAACAAAGTCAAAATCGATGTGCATATTAAAATATTTCGTAAGGGGTTTATTATATGTAATAAAATGAATTCGTCTAAAGTATAGGGATTAAGATCTTAAAACTAGCGGTTCCAGTGCAGGTTGAGATTTAAAAACATGAAGGCCGATTTAAAAAATCCAATATCAACCTTGTGATCTTCAGTTGAGAGTACTAGATAATAAACAAAGGAGGCAGTACAATGTTTATTTTTCATGATTTACCTGTTCATCAGCAAAAGCGCAATACTTCATGTTGATCCGATGGGAGATGTGTCGCAGGCACGCGTAAGTGTTGTTTCTTGCATCTTGACACTTGCAGTCATACTGCGGGTAGCATTGCTGGGAAAATTTGCAAAAAAACTTTAAAACTACTACTATAATGTACAAACACTGGTCATTTTTGATATTTAAGTATGGCTAATAATTTTGCATGAATTACATTAGTCATGGCTATAAAAGGTAAAATTCAATATATATATTTTTACTCTATTTCTTTATTTTACGATGTATTGTAGGAGTAGTACATAATACTTGTCCTGACGTCAGTTTTTTACATTAACAGTACCACACCGCAAACGCTTTCAATTCCAAAAATTACATAACTGAAACATAAAGAGCCCGACAAATAAACAAAACTAGTATAGACAAAACTCACAGCTAAATTTTCCTTATCATACGCCCATGGACAATGCGGATCTACTGTACCATCACGACCTTCTCCGTAATACTCCACAAGCATATTCCTTTCTCTATCCATGTTCTGGTTGAACTGGATAGGCTTTCCGTCTACACTCTTTGGCGGTTTAATTCCAGCTAATTCCAGTATTGTTGGTGCTATATCTATGTTTAAGACGGGTTGAACGTCTGTGTAGTTCTTTGCTATGTTCGGACCCCGTATGACCAGTGGCACTTTGATGTCAGATTCGTAAGGTTGCCTCTTGTCGTATACTTGTGAAAATTGACCTGGAATGTGATAGAAGCAGTGTTACAATCTACAGTGTTTTTACGACAATATTACAGACATAACACTGAAATACATATATTACTTTTAATCCTGATTAAAAAATTCTAATTCTTTTACAATTATTATCTAGTTGTAATTTGCTTAGTGAGAAAAGTTCGTTAATCTCTCACAAACAAAGTATTTAAACAATTTTGATAGATCATGCATATAAAATGAGGCCGCTAGATGCAGAGTAGCCTAACTGCAATTTTAAAAATGTTAATCTACAAGAGCACAGTGGCCCAAAATTGTTAACATATCTAATACTGTCTATAGTTTACGCGTGTATGAGACATTTAGATAAAACACTAACGGTTTAAAACGCGATATATAAGTGAAATCATTTTCAAATGAGTTTAACTAATATATCGCAATTTAAACCGTTAAAAGTGTTTTATTTAAACATACCTAATTCTTACACAAATAATAGTACAAATTTACTTAAAAATCACGATTTTTGTTATTAGGCCACTGCCTCTAGCAGCCACAAATGTCATATTTAACTCCCTATTTAAAATTTTACTTTTTTAACGTAGCTAATAATAATCTAAATAAATATCTTGTTCCCATACCAATATGATATCCATTATCCGAAGTATAGATAAGGTAGGTGTTGTCCAATAAATTATTATTGTCAAGTGTTTCCACAATATCTGCTACCATTTCGTCTACAGATAGAAGACTCTCCCAGCGAGAACGATACACTCTGTCCAATTCTGGCAACATCGTTTCTGGTAGGGGCGACGGCGGCATTGTTAGCAGCCAGTGTTTATTCTACAATTATTAATAAAAAGTGAGATTATAGTATTACATATATAGTGTAGCTCGACACGCTGTAGATGCCGGTTCAAGTCCCGCGTCGTAATTTTGTCAATATTGAAAAAATTATGACTTGAATAATAACATAGAAATATAATCTAAATAGATTTTTACTAAATATAATGCTTTCATGTGTACAATATTAAAAGTTATCAAATACTTCATACGCATATCATCTTTTTTATACAGACACGATGTTAGTAGCTAACTTTAATCAGATAAAAATATTTTCAGTTAAATGGAGGAATTCCAAAACACAATAATGTATTCTGGGAAATTTGGCGAAAAAATTGAATATAGGTACAAAACATAATTTAAATCGTGAATTATAGCGATTTACGAGCGCGTGCGCAGGTGGCAATCGTGTATTTTAAAGACCAAGGCTGAACTTTATTTCTGTTAAGGAATGAACAAAGAACTCACCTCTGCTCGTACATTAAAGTTGGGATGTTTAACTGCGGTAACATTGCTGAAGGCGTCTTTATGCCTAGGAGCAGGGGTGAAAGGTTGATGGGGAGCAGGTGGAGCCAGGACCATCATGAATGGCCGAGATTCTGTCTGATTTTCTATAAAGCTAACGCCTAAATCACGCTGCAATTCAACAAAAGTTACATTAGACAACACATATTGTTTAGATGGTATATGGCTGGGGTATTTTACCACCATCAAGATACCATGCTTGTCTCTCCTCTTCAAATAAAAAATATATTTTTTTAAACACAATGTACAAAACTTACAACTAAAATGAGTAGTAAAAAATTACAATTTTAACTTTGCGCTAAAAAGGCATCACAATTTTAATAAAGGCATCAAAATTAACTGAACTTCCCTTTCAAATCAAGGTACTCACAATGACATCAGTAAGGTATAAGTCGTTTGAATGTGTTGGAACTCCATTATTAGAAATTGTATAATTATAGTACACAGAATTGCCAACTAGGCCATGGAAATCACTCCATCCGGGAGGTACTAGCTCTGGTCCCCCTGCATCTTTAAAGCCATACTGTAAAACAATGTTTATCATTCAGTGAATGAAAGGATAATTTTTGTCTATGATTAATATTGTTTAATGATCTATTCTTTCAACATATTATCAACGATACCAATGTAGACTTGTAATGTGTACGGTTTCCATAGAAAACACAAAAAATATCTTTCATCAATGGATCTGTAGTATTCTTCTTCTCTTGACTGTCCTTTTTATTGCCGTTTAAAATGCAAGTAATTTAAATTAAACTTAATGCAAGGCTGCGCAGTTTTAGAGCCCTGGAATGCAGTCTAGTAGATAAGCATAAAAGAATATTCTTCCTTACATTATTAAGGTATTTTCCAGCATAAAATGTATTATATCCAGAGGCCTTTAAGGTGCCAGCAAAGGTTTTGGTCTCCAATCGCTTCCAGTATCTGCCATAACAACCGCCATGGAGGCTATTGTTCCAAGTTAAATGGTTGTGAACATGGAGACCAGTGAGGAGACTGGCACGGCTCGGGCAACAGATTGGTGATGTAACATACTGTTGTTAAAAAAAGGGGTATAAGAATCGGATGTATTAATAAAGTTTAAATAAACACTAACGATTTAAAACGCGACATATATTAGTTAAACTAATTTGAAAATTATTTTTATCATCAGCCCAACTTTTTGTATGCTTTGCAGCATCCATGGTCACAGGGAGACTAAAGGTATGAGGAATTCAAACTCAATTAGTAATATTTCATTTAAATACATACAGTAAAATTCACTACTTTGCTTAAAACAAAGGAATTTTGTACTAAGAAAACAATATGGGGATCAGCTCTAGCCTCCTTGAACTCTCTTAGTTTTTAGCTACCAATTGGTTATAGCAGCCATCATTTTTTTAAATATGTTAAACAATGCAGAATGTTTACACTTTTTGGCCCTCTCAAGTATTCAGAGCTAGTTATTTGTTATAAGAAACCCAACTAACAGAAGTGCCTTGAAAGGCTGCAGAACGGACATACTACTTAGAAAACAATTGAGCCAAACATTTAAAATGTTGTATGTTCTTAGTACTTTAGTTACTATGATAAAGTTTTATTAGTCCCTTGAAAGTCCTTATATTGTGATTCAGCTGTACTTACCTAATAATATTATCTTACAGAATAATACTATAAACTTACAGAGTTTGCAAAAGTAGTTCCTTCATTTGCAATAAACCGTTGAACATTCTTCATTGGTGTCTGAAAATCAAGTAAAACAACATTTGATTTCACTAAGTCATTTATTCAATTCTAGCTTATGTATAATTTACTAACCATGCCTCCTAAAGTTACATCTTGATCATCCGTCAGGATTATGACAAAGTTAGGTCTCTTGTCTTCACACAGGGAAGAGTGTAATATTAATGAAAATAGAATAAAACTTAACATTTTGCTAAAACTTTTTGTGTATATAACTTATTGCGGCACAGCGGGCATAACTTCTAGGCCAGTACACTCTCTAGCTATTACAATACCGACTGCAAAAAATCCTACACTTTTCACAATTGACCTGTAAGATAAAAATGGACATTTAAGATAAGCGAGGTGATGAGAAGAATCGTTAGCAATTGATAGCGGAAATTACAGTAAACATTACAACTTTTAATGGAGTCGTCAATATATTAAATACTATTGTCATAAATGATTAGGTTATGTTATGTACGAAGTTAAATAGTTTAGGCAGTTCACTAATTTGAGGTTATAACAAACACTAACCATTTAAAGGGGTCATAGTAAAAGTCCTTTACGAATCCAACAACACCTTTGCTTCCCATTATACGTAAATAACAAAAATTTCTTTTAATGTAATCTATACCTAAATATAATTAAATGACGTTAAATTTTTCTTATTGAAATGCAGAATCAATAAATTATAGCGAAGTGAAGTGTCGTGACATGACAGTGACAATATCTCAATAAATTAATAATTGCACAAATTTGCACGACATAGTAACAAGTCTTTCTAGCCAACGAAAATTTTGTGAAAAACTTCGTAATTTATTATGAGGGGAACGGCCCTCCTTTAGTTTTCTGACAAATATAATTTACTGTCAACAATTATCTAAAAACTGCAGAAGTTACATACTGAATAATATTTAATCTGCAGTCTGATGATAGAAGCAGTAAGTTAATCATATGCTTTTATATAGATAATATAACGATATATTTCTTTACCTCATAATATATATTTTTTTTCTTTTCGGATTTGGTTTTAGATACTTATGTACTATAAAAACTTTATTTATATTGTATAGTATTCAATATAACATTCCTCAACATAACATATATCTAGCAAACAACTTTCAGGTTCCAAAAATAAGAGACCACTATCGTTACATATGTTATTTATATCTTCTAATTGCGTTTACAATCCAATCGACATAAAACGACACTTTAGTATAAACGCCAGGATAAAAACGATTTCCGCACGTATACCCGAAGGATACTAAGCCAGTAACTACTCCTTTATAAAATATGGGACCTCCTGAATCGCCAAAGCATCCATCTATTCCATCTATATCTATACGACCAGCGCAGATCATTGAATCGGCTATGACAGAACCGATAGTTTTATACCTCTGTCTGCATTCATTCTGATCTATTGTGAAAATTGTTGCCAATTGGAGTTGATCAGCTTGTTCGCCACCGACCTGCAATATAAGGATAATTTGACCAAGAACAGAACAATTATCTAGCACTAAACAAGAATGGTGAAAGTTTTAGTAGCTTTGAAAACTTGCGTGCGCCGCGAAACCATTTTAGATACCCAAAGGTGTGAAAGAATGAATTTTTTGTCGTGGACATTTTCTCGATGTATATCTTTTAAGATTCATTTGCAAGAACGACGGGACGCGACCGTTGTAGTCCCAAAATAACTGTTCTACTCGGACGAAGTCGAGCTACGGCTAGTTCTAAATAAAAAAGAAAACTTAATAAATAGTGTTGACTTCTCCGTCTTACCTGTGTTACACCCCAACCCACCAAAGTACACAACGAATTCGGCTTCAACTCAGTCCCCTTATTGGCTATAGTTGATTGTTTTATCGTATCTCCGAAATAAAATTTCCTAGCCACGACCAGTACAGCCACATCATTCATGAAGTAATATCTATCGAAGCCTTGATGCGGTATTATTGTCTTCACTTTATGAAGAAACCCACCCCTTGTACGAAAAGACGAGCCAACACGCACCCTCCAAAATTGTGGGTCACTGTAACTAAAACAAAAGAATGACAAATGTTTCGATTGTATACCTGATGGTACCCGAGCTACTAAGATGACTGAATTGTCTTCGGAATAATATGATATTTTTTTTAATAAGAGACTTTAACCATTTACAACGCGAAATATATTAGTTTTCGCAATTTATTACTGGTTTACTGGCATTTATATTATAGCCCGGAGCTATATAAATGCAAACTAACATATTACGAGTTTTGTATATTTTGCGTTTTGAACCGTTAAATTGTTTTGTAATGTGTAATCCTAAACTACCTAAAGACGGTATTTCAGGATATTTTTCAAAAAGTACGTGGATGACTTTTAGAAGATCGCTTCTGAACAGGAGACATCTTTCTGTTTACCAGTGACAGCATGTAAAATACAGTAAGTTTTGGAGTTAGGACGACCATACATTTTCACAGTAACCTTAAATATGTAATGTTATCATGAATAAAACAGTATTATCTAATTCAGAATAGCAATTGAAAATTGAAATATATATTTACTTATATCCCGTTTCGCTACTATACTGAAAGCAGTGCGCTGTAGATAAAACATGACGCGAGGTAATGATGACTCCTGCGCAGTGTTGCGAGAACTGTCCATTATTCCACGGATCCAAGAGTAATTGAGCGACTACGGGAAACTGTTGAATCGTGGTAGGTGTTCCTCCTAACACACGTATGTATTGGCCGTATCCTAAAAGTCAATATTAACCATTTTTAATGAACGTTACGAAAAGTTAAAAAGAGTGAAACGCAATTTTATATAAAAATAAGGTGATTTTTTGTGGAGTTATTAAAATATTTTGAGATAGTTTTTAAAATGGAAAAATACAATATACAACGTCACTTAAAGTATAGAATTATTGTTGCTTATTTGAAGTCAAAATCGTAAGAATCAAACCGAACTTTAAAAGCTTTTAGGATAAAAATATGAATAGCACACGATCGGAAAATAAGTTAAAAACTCACCATTATAAATGTGCTGTAGAATGACTAGAAACCGAATGAACCAATACATGTTTATAGAATATTATTGTAAAATAAATATATTAAAAGTACGATCGTACTTGTCCTTAGAAAGTATTCCTCGAACTGATGATTCGTTGCCCATACGGTACTTTCTTAAAGGTTTATTACGGTGATATAATAATAGGTATAATCTAAGACATTAAGCTCAAGTTGATGTAGCGCACTCGAAGGCTTTTGGTACTTTACAAATAAGCTCTTTTATAATGTGGCGTTGGAATGATAATGTAAATACCTTATGTACAAAAATAAAGAGCTAATATTACATATAAGGCGTAAAAATGTGTCCAGCCATCATTTCTACGTCTTATTTATGAAAATTACATGTAACTCCGAAAAAAATAAAAATAGGCTTTTGGTGTGAAGAGCGAACTTACTTATGTAATTTCTTGAAATATGAGTCAAATCAGCTATTGTTTGTATGGAATACTTAAATAAAACTGGCCGAAACTCAGACGAGACTTTGTAGGGGGTCAACACACGACACGCCTTATGAAAATGTCATTTTCCGTTATTTATATTAGAAATAACCTTGTACATGCTATAATTAAACATTGATTTATTAAGTATATTGATTTCATAGATATCACATAAATGTACATAATCGTTTGTTTAAACGAAATATAGTTTTTTTTTCATGTCGAAAATTTAAAAGCTGAACTTAAAGTATCAAAATTAAGACTTAAAAGTTTCGTTGGCAATAAGTATAAGCGAAGTTTATGATACATGTAAATATGTACTTAGCATGTAGAAAATTACAAACATCAATCATCGTTCGCTTAATTAGAAACAACAATGTATTCGTTTGTGTATGTAGTGTCAGGTGAGGTTAACAAAAAGGTGATTCAACATTTACATACCTATATAAATTAAAAATTGTAATTACTAAGTCGGCCCAAAAAAGGCCGTCTAAAATTGAGTACTTCATTAACCTTAGTATATTATCATATAATTTAAGTACATAATTGTTTTTGAATGAGAAATAAAAACTTTATTAAATGATTACAAGTTTATTGTAATCCCATTTTTGCCACATATGGCTTATACATTTCTGCTTGTTATGTAATTAAATATAGTATTTTAACTATACACAATATTATTTTTACAATGGTATACATATATAACACTTTTTTATGGACTATAGAGGGTTTGTTTTTATTTCTATTTATTCAATATTATCTTATAATTCCTTTGTTTCGTATTGAGTTTTGTATCTGATCGTGGATACTGGTGTAATATTTCATATGACTAAGTAATTTTGTCACACTATCTAAGTTTCCATTGAAAAATGCCCTAGATAATTCCTTCTCTAGATCTTTTATGACTGCAGTGATTTCCTTATTTAGATTCATAATCTCTTCCTCTGTATCCGCACTTTCCACTTCCTCATTCTTTTCCATTATTTTCATGAGAAACTGTGGGTCCATTTCAGTGTTTTCTTCTATATGCTTGCCTCTTAGTTTTAACATATAAATACCTAAAAAAATATATTTACTTTTAAACTTACTGAAATTTTGTTACAGTGGGTTGAGCAGTAATTATCATTCAATGATAAAAATGAATCCCCATTTTAGCTGTTCAATTGCTGTACATTTATCTTAATGCATATGAAGTCCTGGGGTTAGATGTAAATATAAATAAATGAATGAAAATTTCTTTCCAAAGGTAATTATCCTTTACCTCTTGATAATGGTTCCAGTAGAGTTTTATAAGCTTCATTTACTAAAGATGAATACTGAGCTGATATTTCTTGTTCTATCTCATTCCTGCAATGTTAAATAGGGATTTATGGATATATATACTTATATTTTTTCCAAGCTATGGGTTTAGTATTATGGAATACACAATTTACAATTTTAAGGTTGTAATTTATTATAAAAACTATTACTAGATATTGTTCAATAAATGTTTGTAACCTACAGCATACCATCTGAGAAGCTGGAAAATTTAGGAATAATATATCAATATCATAATATTGTGTTATAGACCACATTCACTACTTGTTGGACAACACTCTCATGAAAGCCTTAAATCATAGCTTAAACATTTATTTTCTTAAGAGAAGACGACACTTACTTGTTTGCGTATTTGTCTGGATGTAAATATTTTTGCATTTGTTTATACTTTTTTGACAGGTCCTCTTCGTTTAAGTCGTAACTCTCATTGAGGCCCATTAGTTTAAAGTAGTCACCTACATCGTCCGGCCTTTGAAGTGTTTTACAATAAGAGCAAAACAAATTTGAGTCTAATATTGTGTCCTTTCGACATGACCAGCATGTTATGTTGCGAATTTTAATTATTCGAATGTTTTTCGTAATGACATTTCTTAGTAAACCCATTTTATTATGTAGTTTAACTTCACATGTACTATACAATTTAAAACATGACTTAATTGAAATAAAACAGACTGATTCAAATGGTAGGAAATGTTATGCGTATGGGAAACTTATATAACAACGATAAACTAGCACTTTGCCTATAACTAAAGTTCGCTTCTAATAGCGACTCTTATTAACACGCTGTAGTTATGGTCAAAATAATTAACGTAACATTAAAAATTAAAATACAGTCATCTTTAAAATGTAGAATAGCAAAATAGTTGGTAAATGTGATATCATATGTCAAAATCAGCTGATCGAACGAGATGGAACACTGGTCAAAGATTATAATAAATCCTGTTTTATTATATACAAACTACAAAGCATTTGTTGAGGTCGGAGTTTAAAAAAATTAAACTCTAACTTTTTTTAACATTACAGTTTTCGTTAAAAATACGGACGATTTCAAGTAATAATATTTCATCAATCTTGTGGTGTTACAGATTAACATAGTCTTGTGTACGAAAGGTACTACTCAATTTCCATTCTCTTTGTTTTATAGTCTGTCTCCACACTACTGTCAGTTAAAGTTTGTTTTGTAAATAAAATACCTATAATACTTTAGAAACCGCGTTAAATTAATATAGTGCAAACCGTTTTATTGAAATAACCGTGGCCGTGTGAAGTCTAGACTTAAATCATTCATAATTTAAATTATTGTCGACTGCCCTGCGTTCCAGTTTCTAAGATGGTTTCGTACTTTACCCTAGATGCTACAGGCGAAGCAATTAATTTCCAAAAAGAAATCTCAAATATGATGCACGGATGCGGGGACAATCCGAACCCTAATGTGAGCACAGTTATCCTGGTAGAGAGCATTGTACTTCAACAGTTACGGTCTATACTCCAGGAAGCTTTAAATAATTCTACACTTCGCGGTGCCAAGTCAATCAGTAATATCGACATTATATATTTAATGAGAAATAACGGATTAAAATTGAAGCGATTACACGATTACCAAATCAAGCTGGACCAAATAGAGAAAAATAGTATGGCACCGATAAGCATGGCGACAGCATCTTCCCTACCTGTTTTGGAGGATGATAAAGAAGTGGTAAAAAAGAAACGTACACATATTGATGTTATAAGAGATCTTGATGAAGTAGACGAAGTGAGCCAAATCAAATTTGATGTAATTGATTACTTGAGAAAGGTGAGAGCATCAAAACTATCAGAGGCAATGTCATTTGAGAAGTACGAGGCCTATCATAAAGCCAGGTGTAGCTCATTTCGTTCCGGTTATGGGGTTGGTAAGGGTTTCGTGAAACTTGAGAAATGGGTAAATCCAAATAAAGAACTAAAAATCATGGTACAAGCTATGGAAGTTTTGTGCTTTTTAGCTTATGAGACAGTAGCGGAAATAGTTGATGCTGTATTCCTCATACGTCAAGATAGCAAGAAAAAATCTGGTGATCCCTTTAGTAAATTCGAGGGTGGCCACTTCTGCAATCCTTTGAGTTTGAATAATGCTGTATATATTAAATCGGGATATGAAGGTGTACCAGCCATATCTGTAGCAGAGGTTAGAGAGGTTTTACGGAGATATTTCACTCCAAAATGTGGGATGAATGGTTTATTCCATAGAAATATGAACAACGACTTACCTGTCAGATACATTGCTATATAGAGATAGCATTTATTAAGTAGATATAATGAAAAATGTTAAACCTTTGTTTTATTTATGATTTCTTTTCCTAGCCTGTAAATACACTATAATAAAATTATGTAAATGAATTAATTTCCATTTATTCATGGATGATTTAGTCAATAAAAATGGTGACATTCCGTTTTTTACAGTGTCAGACATACAATATACAGTTCTGATTCCATTTTTATATTCCACTTTCTGTTTTATCAACAATAATTTGACTTTGAAACCTTTACTTGATGTAATATTTTCCTCTTAGTTGCTTAAACTCAGTTACTTTAAATTGCTAAAGATGGCGCTTTTCTTAAATAAAAAGAATTTTTCTAGTGGTGAAATTAGAGACATTAAAGCTATGTCTTTACATAGCATACATTGAGAGCATTATTCCAATAGTTGAATTGTATTTAAGACATATATTAAAACTACATACATCTTTCGACGTCAATGATGTATAATATACGTAATGAAATTTATTTGATCGTAATATGGCTGAGTTATTTCATTTTTTATCAATTGAACATTGTGTTCTATAAAAAATTGGTAAAATATTTCCCAAGAGGCGCTTATGTAGCAAAGGCTTTATACTGAAGGTAGTTAGATATTCATTGTTAGGGAAGTTTTAGATCTAGCCACTGGCAGTTGGTCCTTAACCATTAATGTTGCTAACACAATTTCTAAGTTGGAGTGCTTCATGCAAGTTGACGAACTCCTATAGCTACTTAACTAAGCATAAGCAATACTGGAAAATTCAACTGATTACTTTGTATACACTTGTATAGAAATGGTAGGTTAGAGGACCTTCGCCAAAAGATTGTTTTATTCTGGAAAAAAAAATACAATAAATAAAACATTTTTTTAGTGTCTATATAGTTATATGTTGTTAAAAAAAGTAGTTATTGAAAGCCTGTGGGATTTTTTATTATTAAAAAAATATTTGGGCCACATGACCTCATTTTTTTTACGGTTAGAACATGAGGTCCTGGGTTCGAATACTGAGAAAATGATAATTTGTTTCGGCGGGGCAGGGCACCGAAGATTGATCGGCTACTTGTCACAAACATAATCGATCAGAAATATGTACGTGTCACCACGTTGACGAAACGGAAATTTCGCACACACAGATTTTATACTAATACTCGTATAAGAGGTTTTCTTTTCACTTCTACATCTACATCTATAATCCCACGTATTCGATGGTTAGTTGAAGTGCACGAATGTACTCGCAAACCCTTCAGAGCCTCCCATCTGGGCCTAAACCAATCTTCGCGATTAATTGAGAGGCCAGGAAGGGAAACGTGCCCAAATTGGCTATTGAAGTGAGCTTAGCACAAAGCTAGCATACTTTAGTTTATTAAGGCGTTTGAAGTTTAGTATTTCTATAATATTTTCGAATGGGGAGAATAGACAAGCGTGTGGTTTATTTTGTGTAAGAAATACCGTAACATAGTACATACCGTACCGTAACAACGTACATTACAACTAGATCGACCTATGTTGTCTTTGAACATTCGGAACTCGAATCAGAAACTTAATCCGAAAGCAGATTCACCACTTTACGGCTTTTCCATCTGTGGACTGTGGTTCGTGACCCGGATGAAATTTCGATATTCTTACCACCCATGATTTGATTTTCCAGATGGCTCCGGTGGTAGTAGACCTCTCAAACATCACAGATTGCTACCACTCGATCAGTCGTAATTATTTTTTATATAATTATGTTACGTAATTATATCTCATTTTAACAGATGATTAAAAACATAAAGACAGACTGCAAATAATTCTACAAATTGCAGGTATGTATTAGTAGAATATTCCACGTATTGAAAATTTATTTTTCGTGTAGAAGAGAAGAGTAAACTTTAGTGTTATTAAAACAATATAGGAACAATGTCGCCTTCAACAATAAATAAACGTAAAAGCCGACGAATATAATCACAACAGTATCAAATAACTTCGGCCTTTCCGAGGGTGTAAACGCTTTAATTTCACGTTAACTTTCAAAGAAAGGTTATTTACCTACACCCTGTACGTACACATTCTGCAAGTCATAATTCTTTCTTCAATATATTTATAAGGGATGCCCGCCACAATCTGTTTCCGAAATTGGAATATTTTTTATTTTACCTCGAATATTTTGGGTGAAGGTTAAAGCAAGTTTTTCCTTGAAATTACGTCGTGAAAGGTGAGTAGGAGACAAAAGTTTAATCGGAATTCGGTAGCTATTAGATTTCGTATTATAAGTAAAAAGTTATTTTAAATATTAAATCTAATGTGCAATTTTTATAGTGTATTAGTGTTCTCAATAAAAAAAAACACTGTTAACGGTTTAAAACTTGAAATATACTAATAAAACGAATTTATTCTATATATATACTATGGCCCGACGTTTTTAATGATTTGCAGAAGCTGAGGTCGCGACAGGGTTTTTGTTATTAATAGATATAAAAACTGGGGATAAGTAAACCAACATATATTTTTTAAAAGATTACTTTCAAACGATTTTTATCCATTTGTTAATGGCCTAGCCAAAGACTAAGTAATAGATGTAGGAAAAAACGAAATTCTTTTAACGTGTAAAATCGACACGCGTGACAGATTATTTGAATTATTTTGTATATATATATAATTAAACGTAGTATAAATCATTGTTTTTGTGATGTATAACTGCGGGTAGTTTACAAAATGTTGAAAAGTAATGTTCGTGTTATTCGATGACGTCAGGCTAACACCTGGTCGGTTGTTTGTGAGTTGTATAAAATCGCAAGCGATCGCAGGGTAAACGCTGGTGGAACGTTGTTGGAACGTTGTTGGAACGTTGTTGGAACGTTAGAGGTTTCAGAATATGTTTAAAATCGTATATCTGTATTAATACCTATAATGCGAACGTTGGTTGAACATTGGATGGTTCAGGTATGATGTACATTATTATATTGTAATAAATAGGTTGTGATATATTATGTACTTTTTATTATATTGAATTGGCATCAATATATGTCAATTAAGTATCGTAACCTTGTGTAACATATAGATAAATATCTTCAAATGAATATATAAATGGGGTACCATTATTTGTTAGATTCCTAGACGTTTTTATACAATAAATGTGTTGCCGGTATTATGGGGAATACGTTGCTGAAATGTAACATCTTGTTTAACGAAATAGAATAGGTTTTGACAGTATATCTTCTTGTTATTTACATGTTATCCTTAAAATCTCATATAAACCAGTGCCTATAATCATATATTTAGGTCTCTTTTTAAAAAAAATCTAACATCAGAAGTGGGATCGATCAATACAGTGAATAAAATACCTCACACCATGTTTGCTCGTCTAGTTATATATATTTTTTTCTTCTTATTATGTCACATTGTTTTTTTTTTTCTCGTTTTGTTTTTTTTTAAAAATAAAGATAATAACGTGTACATTAAATACTTATAAAGGGATGTGACACGTAAATTTGTTAAATATATATCGAGATTTTGAGGATGCAGATGGATTAGGATTATAAATTTCTAAAAAGAAATCAGCAATGTATTCAGATACTAGCAATAGATTTTGTGCTTAATTTTGTTTCGAATCGTTTTAGCCGAACATAGTAAAAATAAAAAAAACCCTCACTTTGGATGAATAATCGAGATAAGTATCCAAACTAATACACCAAGAACGAGTTTCAGAGAAATATGGACGATCAGCGAGAACATCTGCGACGTAGCCGGGACTGCTCGAGACGTGATGAAGTGACACATGGTCTTCCAACACTGCTCCGTAACCAGACGAGGAGCCCTGAGAATTATGGACGATCAGCGAGAACATCTTTAGCGTAGCCGGGACTGCTCGAGACGCGGTGAACTGACACACGGCCTTCGATCACTGCTCCCTTATCAGACAAGGAGCCCTGGTGAGGACGTGAGCGAAATCATCCTTAGCGGAGACGTATAAAAGGACTATACGAAATAGTTTTCTTGCTATCAAACGATTTTTTTTTTTGAGGGGAATTTACAATAATAGTTTGGTTGAAAATACTTCCCTGATCTATTTTAAATATAGATATTTCTAATAATACACTATTACACAATCGGTTTCGTCTTTAGCGGTAAAACTGCTTTTAATAAATAATACATACTAAATAATAAGATGGTGCAACTTTGTGGCACATTGTAGTTTGCATTATTTAATCTTTTTAACGATGCTAAGAATATAATGTTTTAATTTCGTTTTAAATAATTTGTATGATTTAATATTTTTAATAGTTCTGGGGAAGTGTTTCTATGTTTTAGCACCATCATGCAGTATGTTATTTTTACGATAGTTAGAAACTTTATTTGTGTTTAGATGGCTCCATTTAATATTTTGAGTACAAATATAGGAATACTATAAATGTAGATTTGATTGATGGTCATAAGTCGATTCTCTTTATAAATCGTATCAGTTGAAGTTAAGTAATCGTAATATCAGTTATTTTGAGAAAATTGTGATGGTTTAAGATTTGTTTTTGGCAGCAGTGCCCCAGACCACAATTAGATAATTTACGTATTAGCACAGTTGCAAAAGAAAAATTGCGATGTTATTAGCCTAGAGAAATGATGGACGAAAATAGGGACGAAAATTGTTCTTAGTTGGCTTCTATTATTGTTAATTATTTACTAATGTACTGTTATTTTTAAGAGAGGTGATAATTCGAAACGACAAAAAAAAAAAGCCGCTGGTCGACTGTTTGCTTGGTACTAGTCCATACCACTTGCAGCGGGTGAGTGGGCTAGTGCGTCTAGGTAGACAGTATAAAGAATAGAAGCCGCTGGTCGACTGTTTGCTTGGTACTAGTCCAGACCACTGGCAGCGGGTGAGGGGGCTAGTGCGTCTAGGTAGACAGTATAAATAATTAAAGCCGCTGGTCGACTGTTTGCTTGGTACTAGTCCAGACCACTGGCAGCGGGTGAGGGGGCTAGTGCGTCTAGGTAGACAGTATAAAGAATAGAAG